AATATTAAGTATTTCAGTGATTTTTTCGACGAGGTCTGTATCTGATTCCTGTATATTGTTTATATTAGTGGGAGTCGTTTCAATTCTGTTAACGTATTGTAATTTCAGATTTTCCGTTTCTTCTAGTTTCATCGTGATTTCTGCTTGTTCTAGTTTGTCTACTAGTTTTCTAAAATCTAAATCGGGTTCTCGAATTGAAGAAGGATGGGATGCTCTCTTTTTTATTGCTATTTTCCTTAATTGTGGTGTTAAGGTCATCATTAAGATTTCTGTCATCTTTGTGTTTTTATAGTCGTGTGTATTTAGTGAATATGCTTTTCGAACTAGTGTTTCGATTCTTACTGCTAACTGTTTGATGGTTTCGTTTGGTAATCTGCGAATTTCATTACATAAAACTCTTTGTTGTTGTTTGTTTCTTTCAGAGTCAAACATTTTTGAAAATTCTTGTGTAAATCTTTTCCAGTTTGATTTTATTTCTAGAGGTAGTACTGAAAACCATTTTTGGGCTGCGCCATCTAAGGTTGTTTGTATTAACGCTGTGCGTCGATGTATCCAATTTTGATGTAGTGGCGTATTAATTGGTTCAGGTCCAATGTTTAAAATCAGGTTTGCTGTTACTGCATTTAAATAATCTTCTACAGAGTATTCAGGGTCTGTTCCTGTGAAAACCATTAAAGGTTTGTTTGATGTTATTGATGATCCACCCATTAGGTATGGATTCATTGTCATTTGTAATGATTCTGCTGCATTTGGCATTTGAGAAAAATTTGAAAGTTGGTTTCTTGTTATTTCATGTTGTTGAAGATAATATGGGAGTGGTATTTCATTTTGCATTTGTGATGGTTGATACGAGTGTGCAGTCATTGGATTTTGTTGTTGAATTGGTTGAAAAGATTGTGTATTAATTGGATTTTGTTGTTGAATTGGTTGTTGATGTTGTGCATCTATCGGTTGTGGAGAAAAATTTCTATGATTTGTACGTGTTCTCTGTATTCCTTGTCTACGATATTCTTGAGTATTTGGTGCAAATAAATCTGGTTGTAAGAAATCATCATCTGAGGATAAATAATCCATTTGATAAGATGTTTGTTTTTTATTTTTATTTTGTTGAAAAAATGGGTAATTTTCACTGCGATCCTGTGGAGGATTTGGTTGAAAATTTTTGGAATTATATTGGGCCGTTGGGTTATCCCAGTTTCGAGGTTTTGTATATTGATTAAAATTTCTTTGTGGTTGATAATTTGTTTTTGACGGATGTGTATAATTATAATTATGGTCTGCAAAGTTGTTTCTAGTGAATGTTTTGCGTGTTTTTGGCGGTATTGTTATGGGTCTGTATGTTTGGTAATCCATGTGTGAATATTTTGGGGCAACCGAAGGTTTAACGGTTGACTGTAAGGTTACCTGTGTTTGTGAAAGATTTGTATTTCTTGGTGTTGTTAAATTCGGGCGTATTGGTGAAATACTTTGTTGTGTAGTTGTTGTGTGTACAATTTCTTCATTTATGAAGTGTGATGGTGTCTGTATATCTTGTTGAGTAAGATTTCTAGTTCCATTGAGGTTTTCGTTGTGTATGACTGTAGAGTTTAAACTATTATTTTGTGTATCGGGTAAAAATGTATTATAGTTTAATGGTGTTGCATCAATTGTTAATGGTATTACTCTTACATAATCTCTTATGTAAGATATTGTACCTATTGCTTGACTTGAGATTGATTGTGGAAAGCTTATAAATGCGGGATGAGACCATTCGGGGTCCCAAACATAATCTGATTGTTCTGTGATAGCGGTATCATCGTTCGAATTTTGGGGTCTAAAATTTTTTCTTGCTTGTGCAATTAAATCAATATTGTGTGTGAAATAATCTATTATGAACCATGCCAAAATTTTTTGTAAATCGTGTTTGGTATGTTGTGAAACGTCGTCTTTCGTGAAATTTTCTTTAATGATGTTTAAATAACTAGAGAGTAGTGTGATTTCATGTCGTACTCTTAAATGTTTAGATGTTTCTGTCGGTGAGACATTTGTTAATGGGAGTTCATTTTCTAATATCGAAATATAACTATATATTATTGCGAAAACTTCATTGGTGAAAATGGAGTTTGCTCTTTGTGAGTTATGGTATTGGATGCTTTTTATATATTCTGAAAAAACTTTTGAAAATTCTAAGTCAAGATCGTCTGTTTGAATAGTATATGTTCTATTATTATGGTTTGGGGAAGTGAATTCTATAGAGTAGATTCCATACTGTTGTGTTATGTTGCATATATCTTTTAGATAGTGATCTATGATTTGTCTTTTGATTTTTACATCGGGGAACTCTGTTTTACATGGACTGATTCCGGGTTCAAATAAATTTACGAGTAAATTTTGACAAAATATGTGTTGTCCTCTATCAGTATCTGCATCTACTATAAAAGGAAAGATTTCATCATCATCTGGAGTTTCGTCACCTGGGGTGTGCGTTGAACTCATTTTTCCGTTCGATGACTGTTAATATGTAATTATTAATGTGTCGAATTGGTTGATTCCAATTGTATAGATGTACTGGTTTGTGTTTGTACTGTTTTTTTATTCTTCTTTTTCCTCTTTGTGATGAATTTGAAGTTGTTTCTGAGTCAGAAAAATATAATTGATCGTGAAGTGGGCAATTTTTATCTATTGATTCTTTTAGTTTGTAAAGTTCGTCTAAACTGTTGGTTTCTGATTCTGAAAATGCGTTTCGATTTTTTGAAAATCTTTTTCGTGTTATTTGTCTTTGTTTAGTTATTATTTTCCTCTTTAGTGTTTGTCGTTTTGTGCGAATGTATCCAACTGTTTGTGTATGAGGTGTGATTACAAGGTCGTATTTTTTGTTATCTATTTCACAATTGTGTAAAACGATTGTTTGTTTATTTCCTAGGTTTTTAAATGACATAAGGTTTAGGATGACGGATGCAAAAAGTTGTTAAGTGAATTCTAATTACTTAAACTGTTAGTCCTTACGATTTTTTTGGTTAGCTTAACCTGGGTCTATTTGTTCAGGGTTGGAGAGAAAAGTATATCGATTCCGAAGAATGATTTTTACTTTCTCGTGACTAGTATAAGCTAAGGTGTTAACTTACTTAATCTTACTTAGGGGTAGTGATTGTGTTCAAGGGTTGGAGAATAGTAAATCGATCCACAAGGTTCAGGTATAATTAGAACGCGAGTAGTTCGTTAGATACTATTTTAAACTTACTAAGTCTAAGATTTATCCTGGGTCTGGTAAGAGGGGGGGTCAAGTGAAGGATGAATAACCGAAGTTCTTCACTGTTTATCCTAATTTGAATGATTAGTTTTGTTTAAAAATTTCTATTAGTCTTAGGTCTTTAGAAAGGGTTGGGTAGTGAATCGACGTTTGAGGTCGTTAGACACTAATTAAGTGGGTGGGGGAGAACAAAGTTGTTCTGTTTGATCCAAGGATAAGCCTTGATGATCAAGTTTGAAATTTAATTAAGTAGAAAATGATTTAAGATCCAAGGATAAGCCTTGATGATCTGATTTTTAATTAAGTGACTTTAAGTTTTAATAAAGTTTTAAATTTGTGTAAAGGAAAGATTTAATGTTTTATGATGTTAGTGAGTTGATGATTGCTGTTATGTTTTAGGTGATGAAGCTGGAACAACAGGATGATTTATGATAACTAACCATTTATTGTCATGCTACTAATTTTTATTTTTATTTTCCAATAAATATTTTTCAAACATGTTTTGTATAATACTGCAGAGTTTTAGGAAAACGATCTAAGATCTTTTTATCAATCGTTATTGTATAATATTAATTTTGTTTAGCGCCTGAAATGATTTTGAAGAGTAACTTCAAGGTTTTATGTTTGCAAATGGAAATCTAAATTCATTGCAAGTAGTATTCGAAATATAAAAGTTTGTTCTGGCTTTTGCCGAACTATCATATAACTATACGGCAAGTTTCTACTTTGTCGTATGTCGTCTTTGGTTCGAGGTCTTCTTCCAATTCCGGGTAGTTCTGTTATGGTTCGGAATATTGGCTCTGATCTATTGAGTCGGAGAGACATTTCAATTAAATTATTGTCGTATAACATTTTGTAAATGTTTTTGTCTAATTTCTAATCTATTTTGGTTAATTCTAATCTAGTAAGGTCTTGTTCGAGACTTATGGTCGCACCAGATGAGTTAGGACTGGTATGTATAACTCATAGAGTAATTTCGGATAGGGTACACCGTCTGCTCGTCACGCTATCTTATTTTCGGCCGGATAGATTCGTGCAACTTCTTAGTCTAATACCGATCCTAATCTTACTCTTATACTATCTAGTCTCAGGTTGTTTAACTAGTCTCTGCTAGGCTCAATAGATCTAGGGTATACTGGTTTATTGCGGCTGCTGAAGTGCTCGGGAGAGTCCAACTAATTTCTAAGTTAAATTTAAATCTCTCTGGTGCTGAAATTACAAGTAACTTCAGCACTTACAAATAAGTGGGTTGTTAGTTAGATGGATCATGATTGGTTAATATTAAATACTTTACATTGGTAAAACATTTAATTTATCCAATCATAAAATGTAGTTTAGATCAGGTTCCAAATCTTCAGTTTTGACCAAAAAGAGAATCCAAAAGATATGCCTTAACGTTGTTCCGTAGACGCGAACCATCGAAATTTGCCGAAGTAAGAAAGTGTTATAAATTCGCATTGGCCCTGAATGTTTATTTATTATGATTGTTTATTTTGCTATCATTTGATAACAAATCAGTTAATGGCATTAAAAAAAATTTCGAAAACTTTCGGATTTTTTAAAACTTTTAGATAACTTTGTTTGATTTTTTTTTGGTTTTTGCCTCACCAAACCCATACACAACAAACTGTAACAAACAGTTCCTGACAATGAAAACTAAAATGCGCATTTATTAAAACCAATTTGTTTCCCTTCTTATTCGGTTGATAAGCAATTACATTTTTTTCAACTCGCTTTTTTCGCGGATTATATAAATTGTAACTAATTATACCTGGTGAATATGGCGATGAGTGTAAAGGAGGCGTGTTTGAACTTGTTGTGAGTGGAGTCGGGAATGTGGGCCAGTCGCACTGTCAGGAATCGATCCAGCGCCAAGTGTGCCAGGATAGCTACGCGGATAAAATTGAAATTAATCATACGTCTGTTTTTTGTTAACTAATTCAATAGCAGCTTAACCTTTTTACTATTCACTAACTTACGTTTAGTGTCAAAAATATCAGTGGATATAATATCAGCTATCAAATATTTTTTTATAAGTAAAGCTCGTTAAATTTTTTTCTCAAAAAAAAAACAGTTTTGTTTTCTTCAAATTTTCGACTGATTATTCTTTTTGTTATGGCAGGGAAAAATTAGGTTTGTTTAGTTTTTTGAGGACGACTATAGAAAATGGGTATTAGCTCTGTATTCGGGTGTGATTTTTTTTTCTTTTTTTTTGTTTTCCCAGTAAAATCAGGTACCACAAATAGTCATCGGAATAGGTCGAGCAATATATCATAATAAAGCCCTTTCAGCAAATTTCAAAAGTTTCTCCCAATGTGGAGAAAAATTATTTTTAAATTTCTGAGGTTTAGTCTAATTTCAAGCGGGTAACGCGATCGAGTAACGTTCGCTTTACGAAAACTGGTCATTTAGCCTAAACAAACTTGACTTTACTAAAAAAGCAAACTCTTTTTGGAAGCCTCTTTGAGCGCTTTGTTGACCAGAAAAATTTTCTTCACAAAAATGTGATAACATGAAAAAAATACTACATTTTTCAATGTTTTTTTTCTGTTATTCATTTTTAAGTCAATTATGCCTAACGAATTAAGTTTTTACGTGTCTGTGTAGTTCTTTCATCACACCACAAACAAAAAACTACCTTGAAATAAAGAAAAAAAAATTTTTTGGTAGTTTTTTATGAACAATCTCGAAACAGTGGTCGGAACAATCTGTGCTGCTTGCATAGCAACCAGTGTCGAGGTGCTCACTTTTTGTTTCGACTTTCAAAGTCGCGCACAAATCAGTGTTCGACCAAAAAAGAATAGTCGAAACAGCGGTTTGGGTCGAGTACAAATTCAAAACGTACCAAATTTTGATCGAGACGTTCGAAACATTCCGACTTTTGGTCGAGACGTTCAAAACATTCCGACTTTTTGTCGAGACGTGCAAAACATTCCGATTTTTGGTCGAGACGTTCGAAACATTCCGATTTTTGGTCGAGACGTTCGAAACATTCCGACTTTTGGTCGAGACGTTCAAAACATTCCGACTTTTGGTCGAGAAGTCGAAACATAAAGTGAGCACCTCGACCCGGGAACAGACTATCTTTTCGAAGTTGCAAGTATGTGGCGATGACGATAAAAGTTTACCTGAGGTGTTGAATGCGTTGATGTTGTATGAGGCCGTAGAGAAGGTGTACACTAGCTTCACCAGTCCCCCCTCCATCAGTGGCTTCCCATCGTACACAATGTACAGCATGTCGTGAATTATCAGGGCCGTGCCTCAAACAGATTTAGTGCTGAGACTTCAAAGTCGCGCCAAATTGACCAACACTCGATAACTTGAAGAAGAAATTTAAAGCCTTAGATGTTAGTTTGGGACAGTTGTTTAATATCAATCGAGGAGTCTTAAAGCTATTTAGTCGCAACAGAAATGCAAAATCGCTCAGCATTGCAAAAAAATGCAAGAGTGCAAAATTACTCTTGTAGTTTACTCATGAAAAAATCTATATAAGCGTTTTTTAACATCATACTTTTGATCCGATCGGAGAAAAGGGAGTCACCCAGGGTTAGGTGCTCGGCTCATGATGAGAAGGAAATTTTCAAGATTGTAAGTGTTTCGATTCACCGTTTTAATTTAGGGCAATTAACAACAACAACAACAACAACAACGGTCGAACGAAGGCTTCGGTCGAACAAAAGCCGCATCACGGGTTGAACAGAAACCGAGTCGAATCATGGGCCAGAGACATATAAACAACAAATTTCTCGATTTGACCCATGATTCGTCCCCTTTACCATGAATTGACCCTGTTTAACACTGATCCGACTCGATTTCTGATCCACTCATGATATAGCTTACAGTATTTTTTTTTGAAATTAGGGCAAAAAATTCTAATCAATCAAACACCTACGTCAGAGTGTTATTTAAGAGGCATTCTTTCATTCATTCAATTTTGAAGAACTTTTAAGGCAAACTAACAGCGTTGGTGGGTTTCTTCAAGTTTTTGAGATGCTCCTGCGGTAACAGAGAAACATTTTTGAAAATTGGTCACAAAATTTTTTTTAAATAATCCATTCAATATTTAGAGAAATAATTATAAAATTGATGTAATCGCTACAATTATGCACAATTGCAAAGTTACTTTAATTGTTGCTAGGATCAAAACTTACAGAAAAAAAATTGGCTCAAGAAGCATAATAGAAAATTTAGGGTCGGATTAAATCATGTTAAGTGATACTTCATGAAAATCGAGAAAGGTCTGACGATTTTCGGTAAAGTCGAATGCGGAAATTTATCTTCCAACAATGTCAGAGCCGGAAATCAACGAACAAACAGTCGAAAATTGACTTTAATGGATCCTTTGGAAAATTCCACCGGGGCGAGCGACCTGCTCCTAAATGCTTCTAATGGAGCAACCATTGCCTACATTTCTTGTTCCAAAAAATAAGAAAAAGATATTCAGAAAATACATTTGAGCAAAGACAAGCAAACTGTTAATTGAGTCATTTTGGAGAAACAAAGTCGGGAACGTATTTTTACCTGGATAACACTTCAAAATTTCTCAATAACCGTTTTTTGAACGCACGTGCTGTTCATTTTAATTATGAAAATAATTATATATTTATAATTGATTATAATATCATTTTATAGTCAGAATCTGTGAAATTACAAAATGATCGACTATAATCCATTAAAAATGGACTATGTTGCTAATACTTTCAATGTCAATATAATCAATTATAATCTGTTATAATCGTTCATAATCGATTTTTGAGAGGTTATTGATTAAACGTACAGTTCTTTTTTAAGTTATACATAATTTCCTAATCAGTGCAGTTGCTTAGTTTTACGTTTCATAATTTCTTACATTTCACCATTTATATTTTTATATAGATTTGATGTGGTTAGTTTTCTTTTTACTTTTTCAATTCTCAATTATGGCAGCTTAATTTTTGTTAATTTTTTTAACCAAAATCTCCATTCTACTAACTACCTTCCCCCTCATGTTCAAGTATGGGAGGGGGGGGGGGGGCTGATAATGGTTGAATGTGAGCAGGGTTGATTTCAACTCCAATGGGTAAACTAATGAGCAAGTGGTTGAGCTCTACCTCTCTTAACGTGTGGCGGAGGGGTGTTACCCGCACTGACAAAAATAGATTAGGATCGATTTTAGTATGAAAAAAGTACGCAGATTAAATAAAAATATAAAAGTTGATTTGGATTGAATTGAAATTGATTTAAATTGATCTTAAACCCCAGATAAAAAAATTGATCCAAATCAAATTTAAATATTTTTAAAGGAATTAAAACGGTTGTAAATCGATTTATATTGACTTTTTTCATTTGAGTTTCATCAGTGTTTATTTGTATGGCATTTACTCATTGCCTATCTTTTTTCATTTTACATGCATAGCGTATTGTAGCATAAAAAGGACCAAAAAAAAGACCAAATGTCCATAATAGTCTATGATTTCCTTGCATATTTTGAATTCAAAATCTGATTTATAATGACTCTTTTCTTGATTCGTTTCAAATAATTTTGCTCCAAATCTGATTTACAATGATGATTTTCTATGATTTCAAAGCATATTATTGAGACCAAAAATTAATTATTCTGACCCTTTTTTTATTTGTTACATAGAACTTTGCCTATAATCTGATTTACAATGATGATTTTTTGATCGTCTTCGATTTAAAATTGATTCAAAAGTAATTTTGAAAAACTCATCCTTACATAAAATTTCTCAAAAATTCGATTGAAATATCAATGGGTGAACCAATTATCCTAACTATTGAAACTTTCTCTGTTTTTTCATCAATATTATTAAAACTGTATCAATAGAAAACAAAATTCTTTGCTAGTTACATTCTGTTTGGAAAGATCAAGTGTTTGATTTAGGGAAGAAATTTGTGCAACGACAGCCTTGCAAAACTCGATATGACCCAAGGTTGATGACTGCATGCTCTTCTTCATAATGCCAGTTTGTCGTCTTCAAATTGAGGGTAATAATGTATTGGTCTTAGTAATACTTGATTGAGACGATTTCTTACAACAAATTGCCAGAGCAGGGTATGAATTTCTTTTAGTATTTCAATGAAAACAGTCAGTTTGTCTTTTGATCTATTGATCTTAAGCCCCAGCTAAAAGAGTTGATCCAAATCAAATTTAAATATTTTTAAAGGAATTGAAACGGATAAAAATCGATTTAAATTGACTTTTTCCATTTGAGTTTCATCAGTGTTTAATTTGTATGGCATTTACTCATTGCGTATCATTTTTTATTTTACATCCATAGCGTATTGTAGCATAAAAAAGCCCAAATAGAAAGACCAAATGTCTATAATAGTCTATGATTTCCTTGCATATTTTGAGTTCAAAATCTGATTTATATTGACTCTTTTACTGATTCGTTTCAAATAAATTTGCTCAAAATCTGATTTACAACGATGATTTTCTATAATTTAAAGCATATTATTGAGGCCAAAAATTATTTATTTTGATTCTTTTGTTATTTGTTACATGGGTTTTGCCTATAATCTGATTTACAATGATGATTTTGTGATCATCTTTGATTTAAAATTGATTTAAAACGATTTAAAATTGAATTAAGTGAGATTCGAATGGATTTAAGTTTTTTTCGGATGGGTTTTAGTGAGTCGGAAAATCCATCCAAATCGGTTTAGATAGATTTTTAGACACCTAAAAATGTTTTTATGCAAAAAGTTCAGCAAGATATGGTCTTTAGTATATTCTTCGAGGGCACAGAAAAAATTTTGTTTTTGAGCAAACAAATTTTTGTGAAATGATTTTAGTGGGAGAGAGAGAGAGAGAGAGAGATTCACTAGTAAAAATTGTCTTGAAGCAGACGCATTTTATCAAGTTTACAATAATAAGCAAACAAAAAGTGTTTTTTGTTGCCAGATGCAACAGTAAGCTGATAATAGTAACATCAAAACAAATTTTTTTGGGTTATGTGATCTCGAAATGGTAAAAAAAGTACGGTGAAATTATTAATTATTTAGCATTAGATCTTATTTAACAACTTTTTCCAGTGCTTTCGAGTTTTGGCAGCTTCTAAGAGTTTTTAAACAGCTCAAAATATAGTTTGCTTAGTTGTTTTTTGAAAAAGGATAGTATTTTGGGTTTTTTAGTGTTTCCAGGCAAAAACTAAATGAACTGCCATCTTTCAGAAGAAAATTTTTGTCTTTGTACTTGCTTGTCATCGTTAAATAAAAAAAAAAACTTCCTTAGTACGTGGTTTGAACTTGCATTATTCGTAATTTGGAATTTAGAAAATGTTATCAGTTAGAAAAGGGTAATTTATGACTTTTTAATTTGCAAAAATATATCGGAGCATAGTATCTTACTGTGGCATGTAGAGGAAGTAATTTCTGATTGTAACTGAGCATTTTTTGGATTCCCAACTTATAATAGTATTGAATAAATGATCTAATTTAGAACTAAAAATTTTAGTAATTTAAGCTTCTAGGTAATTGTTAGTGAGCTTTTTCGTTGATCTGAAGTTCTAATTGCTTCTGCCATTTTACGAAAAACGTTGTTAAGTTCTAGCTCTTTTATGATTTTTTTGTCAATGATCACACCTACAAACATAACTTGTACCATTTTGCAGTTATTTTCTAACTGTTTTTACATATAATTGACAGAAAAATTGGACAGGAGCGGACCCAATAAAGTGCCTTTGATACTCCTGGCTCGATTATTAATGTATCCGAAGCCGTCGCTTACATGGACTTTCTGTGCTCTCTGTGTCAAGAAGCCCTAAAGTCTGGTTAGAGCTTTTGTTTCAAAACCCAAATATTTTGGTTTTCTCAGTTTTTACTGAGGTGAAAATGATCAATTTTATCTGACAGATTAAGGAAAGCTTAATTCAAAAATTGATAAAAAGTTTTAAAATAACCTTGAAAAACTCATCCTTACATGAAGTTTCTCACTAAATTCGATTGAAATATCGATGCGTGAACCAATTATCCTAACTATTGAAACTTTCTTTGTTTTTTCATCAATATTATTAAAACCGTATCATTAGCAAACAAAATTCTTTGCTAGTTAATTTCTGTTTAAAAAAGATCGTGTGTTTGATTTAGGGAAGAAAATTGTGCACCGACAGCCTTGCAATACTCGGTATGACCCAAGTTTGATGACTGCATGCTCTTCTTCGTAATGTCAGTTTGTCGTCTTCAAATTGAGGGTAATAATGTATTGGTCTTAGTAATACTTGATTGAGACGATTTCTTACAACAAATTGCAAGAGCAGGG